CACTTGGTAGCCCAGGCTGGCCTCGAACTCACAGAGATCCGCCTGGCTCTGCCTCCCGAGTGCTGGGATTAAAGGCGTGCGCCACCAACGCCCGGCTAACCATCATGATTTTTGAGACTGGGTCTCTCGCTGGCCTGACAAATTAGGCTAGGCTGGCTGGCCAGCAAGTCCCAGGGATCCACCTGTCTCCACCACCCTAATTAGATGTGTGCTCTGCTGTGCCCATTTTTTGTTTTGTTTCTCTCTCTCTCTCTCTCTTTTTTTTTTTTAACATGGGTGCTGGGGATTGAACTCAGGTCCTGACATGACAAGCATTTCACCAAATGAACAGTCTCTCCAGGCCCAATTTTATAACACAACTAACTATATTCTATGCTCTATCTGGTGCATACATTAAAATTTAATCTTGGGCCCCATATTTTATTTATTTCTGTGCATGGGGCCCAGAGCCTTAGGGGAGTGTTCTGCCACCAAGACACACACCTCCGACTGGGTTGTGTCAGGTGATCCCCTACTTCCTTGGACACTAGGCTCTTGGCCAGGTTCCTTGGCCTCAAGTGTTCTGTCCTCCTCCATCCAGCAGCTCCCTGCTCATTATTCAGGGCTCAGCACAAATGCTAACTCTCATGGGGACCTTTTGGATGTCTCAGCCAGGGGTAGTGGGTGCAAAACCTCTTCTATCGTTCTAATGCACGTGCCTATCTTCTCTGTGGGTTTCCCCAGGGCAAGGGCCACACAATTTATCTCTAAATGCTCCTTATGGACATGCGTGGCCCACATACAGCGCAATTCCAAGACTGGCCAGTAGGTGCCGCTGCGCAACATGATTTCTGCTCCAGCACAAAGGTTGGAGTCCACATTCTGGGTGGGTGCCACTTTAGGTTTTGAATTCCTGATGATACGAGGACAAGAGAGGTAATCCTGGTGTCACAGGTACCCCGGGAGAGTGAGGAATCAATCCAAGCAGATTGCTTTCCTAAAGTCAGGCACAGGATGAAGATTGGACCAGATGCTATTTTAAATACCAAGTTTCTCTTCCACTTAGTTGTATTGTGTACTCAGGATGGAGCATTCGCTTCCCTGAGGCTTGGTGTGCCAATCCAGAAAATGGAGCAATAAATGCCAAACCTCTAGAATTTGATCAGGCAGCACATGGTTCATGGAGCTGTCGGACAGACTGTATCGATCCAGCCTTGTCTCTGGAGTACCGCTGGCTGGGTATCACCAGGTGATGGGAGAAATGCAGGGAAGTCTACCAGGGCCACTAGACAGAACCAGGCCCCAGCCAGCCTGCTTGGCTGCTTGCCTCCTCCCTCCCTCGCTCTTTCTATCTCTCCGTCCTTTTCATTTTGTTGAGCCAGACTCGCTGTCCTCACTATGTAACAGAGAATGTGATCTTGAACTCCTGAGCCCCCTGCCTCTACCTCCAGAGTGTTGGGATTCCAGGCATGCACCACCATAGCTGGTTTGCAGCCTTGACCTTCTCATCCCCTGCAGCCTTGGCCTTCTCATCTCAAAGGAAGGAAACAGCAGTGGGTTACCTCCACGTGACTGTGGAGGTCCCGGAGAATATGGCTAGAGCTTTTAGCACACAGATGCGGGTACTCTGCACAGTAACTCCATAAATGCCAGCTCTCACGGTCATTGTCATCAACACTGTTAGAGAGCAGTCCACACCGTCGGTCTCAAAATAGGGAAAGGAAGGCCGAGGTGATTCCTCTGGACAGATCCTGTTCCAGTTTCACCAAACACAGCTGGACCTCCACAGTTCACCCCACCCCCGTCCTTGTTCCCTGTCTGGAACTCCCGCCTTTCTTAGCTACTGACAGGACATTTCTCTGGAATTGTCATTGACATAGCTGTCAGGGCCCCTGCATCGCCCAGTGACTCTGCTTCCAGCTGTGGAGAACACGAACCCATGGGCTCTGGGGGGCTGCTAAAGGAGGCCACCTCCCCAGGGACGCTGGATGGATGGAAATGGCCGCCTGCTGCCCATTTACCCTGCAGCCTCGGGCAATGGCTGTCAGTCCAGGCACAGGGAAGGTAGCAGGTCCCAGTAGATCTGGGGAAAGGACAAACCACGGAGATCCACTGTCGCTCCTAGAGGGCCTTCCTGGAGACAAAAGAGAGGACTGGGGAAGGTGGAAGTGGCCCTCTAGTGGGGGAGGCCCGGCGTTCATACTAGAAAGTTCTGGAACATTCCAGAGAGGAATAAATTGTGGGCACAGGGCAGATCCTAGATGCTAGGTAAGAGCCAGCCACGGCTTGCCATGTATACATCTCACCATTGCAACCTGGCTGCCCTTCCCAGGGGATGCTAGAAGGCCAGACATCAGGGCAGAAGTTGATCTTGCTTCCCTGGCACCACCGTGACTTACTCCTCCCTCTTCTTGGGGCCTGAATGATCCCAGGCTGCACCCTCAGCGTCCACTGACCCTTGGCCCATTAGAGCATCCTAAGCCTCCTTGGCAAGTGCCATGCCATGCCTATACCTGCAAATCTCCTGCCCCCGGAACCAGCACCAACCGCAGAGCTATCCTGTCATGTCCCTGGGGTCCTGGGCATCCAAATGTCTCAACCTGCCACCTCTCACCAACTCTGCTACCAGCCTTCTCCCAACTCAAGCAGCCACTGTTTCTCACTTGGTGTCCCAAGCATCTCTGGGTCCCCCCTCCCCCCAGCCTATTCTATTTTCCACACAGTGGATGGATAGATCTTTAATGCAACTGGAGTCAGATCCCAGCATTCCAGAACCTTCTATCACACTCTAAATCAAATCCAGACCCACCAGGCCTGGAAGGCAGGGCACACCCCAGCCAGCCTCCCTTTCCAAATGCCCCCCTGTGGTGTGCCCTCTCTCTTGCAGTGTTGTTCTTGTTGAGATTTGAGATCTTTTCTCTGTTCCCCTGATGCAGCTGCTCAGCTCTGCCCCAGGGCCTTTGAGCCTGCTGCGCCTGCTGCCTGAATAACTGCCTTCATCACACATCCCTCTGTGAACTTCTCTCAGCTTTCAAACCTCAGCTCAAATGTCCGGGATGCAGGCCTCCCCTCACCCACGCCACGGCTGTGGACCTCTCTTAGGTACCTCCCACCCCGAGACCTTCGCTGGCCCTTCCGCAGCAAATACCCCACATGACTATTAGTGTCCCAGCCTTTGTTCTTCCCAGATGGTGGAGTCCTCTGCAGCCGGAGTCAGCTGGTGAAGTCAAATGTCCGTCCTCTGACGGCACGTACATCCCAGGCTCTGAGCAGAGGGGCTAACAGAAGGGGACCCGGTTCTATCTATCTATATGTTAGAAGTCATCTCAGAAGTGACCTTGGGAGAGAGCTGGGAGGCAGGCGCACCAGGGAGACTGAGAAAGAGAGATGGAGGCCAGGTCCTTACTCTGCCACTCAGTATGGAGCACTGACAGGTCAGTGTGCCTCTGTGCCTCAGTTTCTCCTCATGACTGTGGATGACTGTGGTGACGGCATGGTGTGCTCTGCACACAGAGAGGACTATGAGAAGTGAACAGTGGCCACTTGGCTGCTGTGGAGCCACCTAGCCCCCGAGAAAGCAGAGCGGTGGCACCCAGCCCACGTCTCTGCCAGGCTCCCAGGCTTGCCTGCTGCAGTAGGAAATGGGTCGCCGTCAGGACTGCACAGGGATTCCTCATTTCCGCTCCAATCTTTGGGGAAAAACACTTTCAGTTTCATTTAATCACAAAGTTTCTTAATTAGTTTTTTTTTCTCACTTTTTCTTTCCTTATTTTTTTTTTTTTTTTCAATTGCTAAGCTGCCCTGCTGGAGGGAGCAGAGACTCTGGCCCTTGCAAGGCTAGGCTTCCTGAACAAGCTCGCAGGCTGGCAGCCCCTTCGAAGTCCTTCAGGACCCAGTGAGAGGCAGGGCTGCTTTTCTCAGTAGAGACACTCAGGCCCCTCAGTGGCCCCTTCCCCGACACATCCAACGAGCACCTATGAAGCGCCTACTGTGTACCCGTCACTGGGACACAGTAGAGCTAAAGTCTCGCCCTGGATGAGTTCACGGGGCGGCTCAGTGCTGTCAGAAGGGGCTGAAGAGAAGGTGGAACATTGGCCCTGGGCTTGGCAGCATGGGAAGGCTTCCTGGAGAAGGCCAAAGACGTTTGTGCTGAGACACCGGAGGATGAACTGGGGCTGGCTAGGGTGGTGGGGAGCAGGAAGTGACTGGTTCTTGTTTCATTCACAAGCTCCATCCCTCACTCTCTGCTTCATCCACACAATGCTCCCATTCATCATTCACACCCTAGGGAGACCGGGCCCCCGCTGCCAGCACTCGGGCTTCCCAGAGAAGAGGCCGAGTCTGTGGGAAGATGTCCGCTGATGGCAGCGATGGCAGTGTTTTTGTGGTACCCCCCAAAGATGTTGACAGGCAGACATGAGAGACCAGGGAGAGAAGATTGATGCAGAAGTCAAAAGCTGGACCCCAGGACATGCAAAGAAGGCAGGGATTGGGAGCACTTAAATGAGAGGCTGCGTTAGTGTGTGACAGGCAGGTCTCAGCTGACGGAGTGCTAGGGCTGGGTGGGAGGCCTCAGAAAATGGGCTCCAGCAGGCCTAGTTGCCACTGTCTCCAGCTTCTTAGCGGCACGACTCCCCATCCATCTCCTGATCGCTGTGGGCTCACCCCCAATGAAGGACTTGCCATCAGTCAGTGACACCTTAGTCTGAACAGAAACCCTATGTCTCCTTTCCCCAGAGCCCTTGTGGTCTCTCTGGGTACAAGGAAGAGGGGTTACCAGTCAAAGGAGCAGGTTACAGGGCCTCTGGTGTTTATCTGTGTGGGAGGCCAACTGTTACATCCACTCTTTCAGACCTGGACTGTGTGGACCTCGTGTTCTCTGGTCCCGGGTGGTACTGCCCTGAAGTACTAGCCCACCCTGCAGGAGGCAGAGCAGGGAGGCCAGGGACGTGCCTGGTGTTGGTTCCTGCCTCCTCTCTTTCTCCTCAGGGTCCCCAAGGAGTGGCGGACTCCTCTCCAATCCACCCATGTGGAAATGGAGGTCCAGAGGGAAAGGACCGCTGCCTGAGGATTTAAATGGGTTCTGGATGAGTAGTCTCACATGCGTGGCTTCCAGCCACAGGGCCCTGAATCAGGAGTGGGAGCTGTTCTAACAGGCCAGGGAGAAATCCCCCCATCCAGTCCAAGGTGCCTAGGTGGAGACAGGCCACAGCAGACTCAGAGTGGCTCAAAGGAAGCGCAGCTTTCTTCTCTCAGCCTTTAGGAAGAACCCTCTTGTCTACCGTCGGCTCACTGTGGGCTCACCCTCAACGGTGGACTTCCTATTAGTCACCGACACCTTAGTCTGAATAGAAGCCCATCTTTCCCAGAGGCCCTGTGGTCTCTGTGGGTACACCCCACAGAGGTGCTTTTAGGAAGACTAGTTATTAACACTAAGCTTTTTGTTTTTAAACAGTTCATCACCACCTCAGGCCTCTGGAGGTCAAGTCCGAAGAGGTCTCGAAGGCAACAGGACTGAGTGTGGCATGTCACTCAGACAGCTAGCTGGTCCCCTGGACCAGAGCAGTGAGACTCACAGAGTTCAAGGCACCTGCCCACGACCTCACAGTAGGGATGGTAGAGCCAATTGAGCGCCAGGCAGCCCGACCCTGCAGCTGGCGGGAGAGTGGACACCAGGCTGAGGCCGGGAGAGGGACTCTTGGGGAGTTGGGGCCAGGGGCGGGGGGACAGGACACGGTTACCTTCTCATAATACTGTAGTTCATAGTCCAGGATCACACCGTTGGGCTGGTCTGGCTGGGACCACGACAGGGTGATGCTGTCCACAGTGCGGCTCACCTGGTGCATGATGGACACAGTCGACGGCGCTGTAAGAGAGGCCAGAGGTCAGGGGTCAGGGGTCACTGTAAGAGAGGCCAGAGGTCAGGGGTCAAAGCAGGCACGAGGAGACGCAGCCTACCTGCCGTGGGCAGCTGTGGGAGCCATGCCCCGGAGCACCGCCCCTGGTGAGGCAGCTGTGGCTGTTACATATTTAGGAGAAACCTTCCGGCTACACTCACTCACCTGAGCAGGGCCTGGGTAGATAGGGAACCATGAGACCCATGAGAACCGGAGCAGAAAGCAGGGTGGTGGGGGTCAGGGTCCAGAGAAGGGACCAACAGGGAGTGCTGGACCGCGGTGGAGGCTGGGGTTTCTCTCAGGGCTGGTGACAGTGTCCTGGGACTAGATGAGGTACAGTAAACACACTAACCGCCACTGTGCTGTACACATTGAACCAGTCAGGTGTGTGCCACAGGAACTTTACCTCAACCACGTCCATCAAACAGTGCATCTACCAGCCCCGGCCCAGCAGCGACCTGTGTTCTCAGCAAGGGGTTAAGATGGGATGTAAAGTGGGTTGTGCTCAGTGCCGGAAGGACCATCACAAATGATTTAGTCCCGTTTCTTCCTTTAGTATGTGTGGAAACTGAGGCCTCAAGAGCCTCAGGCGCCAAGCCTGCCGTTGCCATATTCTCTGACCCTTTTGTCCTTAACACTCTAGTATGGTTTTTGCCTCTTTCACCCGGGAAAACCTACGGTGTGTCCCGGTGACCCTGCGGAAGGTGGTACACAGCGGCAGGGACCAGGGTGGGAGGTCTCCAGAGCCCTGTTCTTCCTAGAGGGGGCCCATCCAAGCCTGGGTTCCAAAGTACGCCCCTGGACCTAGGGTTTGTGGTCCCATGGGGCCTGAGGACTCACAGGATGGAGGAAGCGCCTGCTAGCCTCCTTCCGGGCTCCTGAACAGGTCTGTGATGGGCAGATTTCCCATCCTAGACAAAAAAAGAGATACCCGGACGCTGATGCCAACCCTTCTTCTCCCAGTTCCCACCTTGCTTCCCAGGGCTTTGGCTGAACTGGGCACCAGCTTGGCTTAGTCCTTTGGGAGCTCAGGGGCCTCTGACATTGGAACTGACTTGGCTACTTCCATTCTGCCTCATCTCCCCCAGACTGTCCCGTGTCCTCTATGAACTGGCTGTGTGGCCTTAGGTGAACTGTCAACCTCTCTGGGCCAGACTAGCCTCTGTACTCTGGCCAGGCTGTTGGATTCGTGGTCCGGAAGCTCCAACACTCCACCTGTTCCCCCAAAGCCCTTGGCCTAGAGGCCAGTGTGGCTGAGTCTGGAGTATGGGACTCCTGTTCTGCTCCCCCCACCACCCGCTGACCTGCGGCCTGGGCAGGGTCTTTCACCTCTGGGAGCCTCAGCTTCCACACCCTTGTCTTCTGCAGCAGGGTCACTGGAAGTATGGGAGGGGTGTGTGTGTGTGTGTGTGTGTGAAGGCTGGGCAGGTGGAGAGGAAATACTTCTGCCAGCGCTAGGATCCCTCCAGAGTGAAGCCCCTCCACCTGCCAATCAGAGCCACACAGACTCATGGGAGAAAGGTGCTTCTTTCCACCCAGTGAGCGCCCCTGCCCCCCACCCCCTAGGTCAGCACCACACTAGGCTTTATAAAGAGGAACCAGAGAACCCAGACTGGAGCCAGGGAGTCCCCCCCTGCTCTTCTGGAATCTCCAAGTCCACTCCTAACTGCCAGGCAAAGTCACAGAATGTGTCCTGTGTGCTTGCCTGTTTTCAGCTGGTGCCAGTCTAACGGGGAGACCTGGACAGACCTCGCATTGCTTACCCACCCCCAGATGTTGACCCTGCACGCCTCAGGGCTCTCCACCACAGTCCCCTTAGCTCTGAGCCACTGAGTGGCCTCTTGAGGGGGGTGGGACCATGCTGCTGAGGCAAGTGGGCCCAGCCTTTGGAGTCCGTCCTTGTCCTGAAAGTCCTGGGGTATGACAGAAGGACTGGAGTAGGTGACTGCCTGCTCTTTACCCACTTTCTTGAGGACCCTGGGAACCTATGATGCCTACCCAGAGGAGGCCCTGGTTACTGACCCCCACAAGGTCACTTTTCATCGGCTAACTCAGTTAACACACAGGCCATCTCTGAGTTGGACATTATTATAACCACTCATCAGATTAGGAAATGAAGTCGGGAGGGATGAAGAAACCTGTCCAAGGCTATGCACGCAATGGAGGCCAGATCCAACCCCAGGCAGACTCGGGGCCAACCAACTTCTCCCTGCAGCAACCCTTTTTAAGGGCCCCTAAGTTGCCTTTTGTCTTGGTCATTTGTTACACCAAGAGAAATAAAGCCAGGATAGTATGTATCCACAGTATGGATACACCACAGTTGTCTGAGCAACACAGGCAGACCAGGGAAGCCTACAAGGGGCTTGTGAGGACACCCTGTGTTCCAGGCTGTCGTCTCACAGCCAATCTGCCCCCCTCCAGGCACGGTGGGTCCCATGGGCTTGAGGGGTCTGGGCCGCGGCAGGCTTGGGTTTCAGGCAGATTCTGGGCTCTGAGCCCCTAAGCCGCATGACCCAGGCATGGTGAGGAGGCGGCATCTGCCCGGAAGATGATCAAGGCAGGCTGGGGGGCTGGCCCCTCTCTCGGAATCCAGGGATTAGCAGTGAGAAAAGGACAGGCTGGAAGCTGTCCGGGCCCCTCCCGCTGCCGCGCCCACCCTGGGTCAGGTTACCCTGGAAGTTGGACATCAGGGAATTCTGGTATTTTCAATTATCAGCCGGGCACGCCAACAGGCTCTGGGGTCAGCGGTGCCCTGTGACCCTTGCCAGGAGATGGAGCCCCAGGGGGCAGAACACAGAAGAGGCCTGTGGTTTGAGGGGGTGGGGGAGGCCGTCCAGCCTGCTCCCCTGCAGCAGGTGGCCAGGGGGCCTGCTGGCCTCTAGCAGGACCTGCAGAGAGTGGGGAAAGCCATCCCTGACAGGGGCTTAGGCCAGCTGAATTCTCTCTGTGAGTTATGTTTCTTCCCTGAGGCATGATGGAGCTGATGAGGGATTTCTGAGGGTGGATGAGGAGATATTTACTACAAGGTGGTCCCCACAGACGAAATGGGGGGCCAGCTTTTAGTCCTAGATGCCAGCGTAAGTCACAGAAGGAGGCAGGAACGCTGACTGGCCGGGGCTAGGTGGTCATACCACCCCTCACTTCCTGTGACTCAGTATCTCAAAGTGCTGAGGGTGAAGGAATTCATGACCAGGTAAGAAGAACCGGTGAGCTAAGGCACCAGGGGAGAGGCAGCCACACACGGGGCGGTCCAAGGCCCCACCCCAGAACCATCTACTGCCCTTGCTCCCATGGATGGCCGCACAGCTATCCCACCTGCCATGGAGGCCTTGTCTGGCACCCCTCCATCTCCTCTTTCCCAGCACCACCCACTCTGTCCCTTAATGTTCCCAAATACTGAGGTCCTTCTCAGCTGGGTCTTGGCTCCTGCTTTTCTGCCTAGAAACCTCTTCCCTTCCGCCTTCCAGAGGTCAGTGGCCCTCCTCTCCATTCAGGTCTCCACTCAGATGTCACCTGTTCAGAGACACCATGCCTAACTGTCTCTCTTCTCCGTCTGAGACACATTCAATCCTTTACCTGAAACAGCGTGTGGCTCAGAGTGGGTGTTTCAACAATATTTAGTAGGAGTTAGGGAGGGAGGGAGGGAGGGAGGGAGGGAAGGCTGGCTTCAGGCAAATCATCCTTCCCTCCACCCAGGCTCCTTTCCCTTAGCACTTCCTGCTGCCTTCCCAATACTCACTCATACTTTCTGACATGAACAAAATTCGAAGTACACTGTGCCCAATTAAAAGACTACATTTCCTCAACCTCTCTACTAGCCTGAATGACCATGTGTGCTTGCCAGTAGATATAAGCTGAACTATTACATAAAGTCTGAAGGAGGTCACTTCACAAAGAAAGGAGTCTCCTTCTAATTCACATTATCTTAGTGTCTGGGACATGAATGTGATGGCGGGAGAGACTGCAGCTAGTTTGGCCCATGAGGATAAGAAGATGTGTTGAGGAGTCTGGGCCTCTGATGACTCCATATTTCCTATTTTCCAGTATTCTTTACAAATCAGAGACAGGACACCTCTACCCTGTCCGAGCCACCACGCGGACTGGTTGTATCACTCATGACTCTACCCTCTGTCTGTCACTTTTCAGGTTTCCTCTCGCTGGTTCTGGGACTGGCTGGGTGACGTCCTTTGGCCAACAGGATACAGGCAAACATGACTTCAAAGGCCCCCTGTGTGCATCTACCTGGCTGCTGTCTCGGTTCCCTGTGTCTGTCAGGGGTCTGTACCCAAGACAATCGGCTAGAGCAGGGGTTCTCAGCCTTCCTAATTCTGTGACCCTTTTAACACAGTTCATGTTGTGGTGACCCCCGCGGCCCTAAAATCATTTCATTGCTACTTCATAACTGTAATTTTGCTCCTGTTATGAATCATATTGTAAATATCTATCTTTGGTCCTAGGCAACCGCAATGGGGCCGCGACCCACAGGTTGAGAAACACTGTGCTAGGGGCTTAGCAACGCGCAGCAGCTGGAGCCACTGCAGGACTGACCAACGGCCCTCACTGCCAGACAGGGAGCCCTGGAGCAGATGGACAGCAAGCACAAGCACGCCTCCATCAGGACCAAGGCTGCCATGGGCTGCCCAGAGGCTGGCAGACTCGCTGCATGTGGCTTCCCTTCCCTCACCAGCTTTGCCGTCCGGCCTGCCCTACGTCCCTCCTGGATCATGCAGTGAACCCATCTTCAATGGCACCTTCAGTCAGCGACGCCTTCCCAGCTCCGAAGGATCAGAGCACAGGATGCGGTCTCCCTCGCCCTCTCTCTCCTCTTCCCCCAGGCCCCTGCCTCGAGCTCTCTGATCCTCTCAGCCTCCCAGGGAGAGAAGAGGGTGAAGACAAGTTCATATCAGTTCCAGAGCAGAAGGCATTGTGTGCCCAGACCCAGCAGGGCATGAGGATCAGAGGAATTCGG